ATGCCTCTCACCCTTGGACAAGAAAAGCTTTTTCTGCACACAATGTAGACCCCTGTCCACTTTTTCAGTGTTTTTTGTGCAACCGAAGCATTGTAAAGCTTCAAGTTTAGCAAGAGCTTAGGCGAAGTTAGCCGGTCGGCGCGCGCTTTCGTTCTCGCTGCTATCTCCCGATGCTTTGTCCTCCAACTCCTTTGAAGCGTCACCCCACAACACATCTGCCACAATCTCGGCGACGCTTTGCAGCTCCCAAGACTGACGTCTATATAGAGATGAACTTGGCGAACGGTGCATCGGTGCCTGTGGAGAAGAACTCCACATCAATGTCGTTGTTGATGTCATGCGTGCACACCACAGAGTCGTCTTCGCTGCGTCTGTGTCTTCCGATGCAAGCTGCCACCAAAAACTGCCCTTCCTGAAACAGCTGCTAACCTTTTGACTTGTCACTCTTCCAAGAAGTGCTCAAGTAGCGCATCGCGTCAAGAAGTGGAAGCGATAAGTTCTAGGGGTCATCGCCACGTGACACGCAAGCAAGAAAATGCCAATCCAAGCCAGGCCAAGCCAAGCCAAAGTGATGAATGTGCGTTGTGGCGTGTTAGTACTTTGTGTCCATGCTGTAGTTACACTATGGGGTAATACAGAAATTACCGTATTTACACGATTGTAAGACGACTCGAATGTAAGACGACCCCCCCAAAATCGCATCTCAAAAAGAAAAAAAAAAGAACACGTGCATTTTACACAAGGGGAAATTTATTCACGTGGTTGCGGAGGATTATTCATCGTCGCTGGAGTCGTCCTCGCTGGTGCTGCTGCAGTCCCACAGCACATCGTCGTCAAGTGTGAGTCCACACTTCGCGAACGACCGCACCACGGCATCGCGTGGGACGGCCGCCCATGCGGAGAGGACCCACCCGCACACAGTAGCCAGGGAGGCTCTCCTCACACGCCCGCTTGGCGTAAGTTCGCGGCTTCCTGACGAAATCCACTCGTTGTATTCGCGGCGCAGGAGGTCTTTAAAAGGCTTGTTGACCCCCACGTCGAGAGGCTGAAGCTGCCCCGACAAAGAGGAGCTCTTCCGTCAACTACCAATAACCCCCAACGGCAGCTCTTCCATCGATTACCGGTGCTCCCTCAAGAGCTGTGCGCTCGTCATAAAGGCACTCGTAATGCGCGCAGTAGATGCTAAAAAAAAGAAAAGCTTTTGTATAAGCACGCGGAAAACTATGCGCTTTGGGTTGAGCGGGAAACTATTCGAGATGACAATACATGGTTCGATTTCGATTCTAAGGTACATGGTTCGATTTCGATTCTAAGACGACCCCCCCCAACATTGGATTGTCAAATTTGAAAAAAAGGGTCGTCTTACAATCGTGTAAATACGTTACATGGCTGCTTTCATTTTGAAAGTGACTGACCATGCACTAACGAACAGCAACAGGGCCGCGGGTAGGCACCCTGGAGTCGACGAGTTCTGTGTTCGCTACTGGAGATGGCAGCATGAGCAGCTGAAAGCCACCAATACGTGCTGGGCCTTCTGTGTGCCTAAGGCTAGGGTGAATGGCAAAAGTTTATTTCGACAGAAGGTAACTGCGAACGATTCCATCTGAGATGGCCATCAGCCCAAGGTTGATGTCGTACGCAAATTTTTTGCAAGCTCCCTTTGAGGCACGAACAGTAACACTATGCCCGGAAGCTTTGTTTGCAGCTTTTGTGTATAAAACATGACTAGCCTTGTGTTGAACTTGTGGTTTCCTTGTTAAGGTAAGTCTCGATTAGTACTCCTTAAAGGTTTTAGTAAGTTGCTAGTGTGAGAGTTACCGATTTGCGACCACTTCGTTATTTTTTTCTTTTATCACTCCGTACGTTTTTAATTATGTTATCACTCTTGAAGGTTTTAGTAGGTTGCTAGTGTGAGAGTTACTGATTTGCAACCACTTCGTTATTTTTTTTTTTTTTTATCACTCCGTACGTTTTGAATTATGTTATAGGGGCCCAGCAGCACTTTTCGAGCATGGTCAGAAAACCTGCTGTTCGGTAGAAGAAACTCCCGACAACACGTGAACCAAATACTGTAGTGCAGCACGGGGCCTGGAATTCACAATAATTTAACAAAGTCAGCTAAAAAAAATTGCTTTCTCTTCTCTCGACAAATCGCAGAAGACATTGAAAAATCACTAGTAGAAAGCCCATCTATCAGCCATTGGCCGATTTGAACATGGTGCGCTTGGTCATTACAGTGATCGCCGCGAAAAGCCACGAATTGTTGTTCAGGCGTGCACTAGCCATCACACTAAAAAAGCCGCACATCCAAAAAAAAAAAAAAGTGCTTGAGCTCACGAAGCACACGTGACGTTTTTCTTTGCCCCTGCTATACATCCATGCTTAGCTTCCAGCACTTCGGTCCGGACAAGAGAGGAGAGAATGCAATTGTAGCATGCAACATATCTTTGTAACTCCATACTCGCACTGGACGGATTCCTAAAATTTTTGCGGTGTTGAATTCGTGAGGCCATAAGCTCTTGCAGTGAATTCATTCCATGGTTACTAGAAAAAATGTTTCAGGGCCCCTTTGAGCGGGAATGTATAAATGAGGTTCTACTGAAAAATGCAACAGGATCAATACAGTGCAGACCACTTATAACGTAATCGCTTCTTGCGCTGGACCGGTTATAACGTGGTTTTTTTTTTTACCACCGATATGTCGCCCATAGAACTCAATGTATAGGCCGACCGTTTATTGCGCAGGCGCGGGAAGGTGAATACAGGTTATAGCGCGGAGTTTTTAGCCGCGCAACCATAAAATCAGCAAACGGAGCACGGTCGGCACAGTTTCCCGGTGGCGTTCCCGGCGCGCCGGAACATTGGGAGTGTGAGCGGGAGGGCGCACGTGGAGACCGCCGCGAAAAGTCAAACATTGTGGAGGAGAAGAGAGGGTACAGTAGGGAGGGAGTTGGGAAGACCTTGGAAGGAGGGAGCGTGTTTTCGTCACCGTGGCGACCGTGGCAGCGTACAATCCGGGTGCGTGCTGCGCGGAGTGGGGGAGAGAAGCGGTAGCATGCTTTTTTTTTCTCTCAACCTCCTTCTTTTGCCTCTTTGGATTTGCTGTGTGCGCTTCGCCGTGTCGTTGCCGTCTGAGAGCCCAGAGCATGCGTGTTGCGTAGCTCCTGTCGCCATAACGTCGGTGGCGTCTTCAAGCAGTGTGAAAAAACGCCGTGCCTTATCGCTGGAGATTAAGGAATGTGTCATAAGGGACATTGAGAGTAGCCTGAAGAAGGCGTCGGTGGTGGCGAAATACGGCGTTTCCGACAGTCGACCATCTACAAAAACAAGGACAAACTGCTGCAGCAAGATTCATCTTCCCTATCACGGAAGAGAATACGTACGTCAAAATACGAAGACGTGGACGCAGCGCTGTTCAGGTGGTTCCGCGAAGTTAGGGTTCAGAGCATCCAGTAAAGTGGCCCCAAGCTCCAACAAAAGGCCAAGTGTCTCGGAGCTCTTTTAGGCCACGACGAATTCAATCCACTCAACGGGTGGATTCAGCGCTTCAAAGATCGCCATGGCATCAGCTGCAAAGTGGTGTGCGGAGAAAGCGGTGCTGTCGACGACGAGTCTATCGAAGTCTGGCTTCGCTTGAACTTGGAGAGTATGCTGTCGACCTATACTGACAGAGACATTTATAATGCCGATGAAGCTGGTTTACTTTATAACCTTTTGCCCAACCGCACGCTTGTGCTGAAAGGCGAAGCCTGCTCCGGCCGCACGGCCACGTTGCTTTAAAAAGCGAGAGTGCCTGCCAGTGACCTACAAAGCCAATAAAAAGGCGTGGATGACACAGGATTTGTTCACCAGCTGACTTTGCAAGTTTGATGAGGATATGGTGGCAGAGAAGCGGCGGGTCGTGCTCATCCTCGACAACTGCAAGGCTTACAACGTCAAGCCGAAGTTGACCGCAGTCAACCTAAAGTTTTTGCCTGCCAACACTACAGCAAAAAGTCAACCTCTCGACCAGGGTGTCATCACAACCGTAAAGGCGCTGTACAAAAAGTGCATTTGCGAGAGAGTTTTGCAGAGCATGCAGCAGTAGCAGCCTCTTAAAGTGAACTTAAGAGGCGCAATTGACATGATGGTCGCTTCATGGTGGCAGGTAAAGGCCGATACCGTAAGCGTTTCAAGAGGGCAGGCTTCGTGCGCAATGCAGAGGCTCTGGAAGACGATGAGCAGAGTGACACATCGCTCGCCGGTGAGACCCTCAACACTGACGACGTGTGGTCCTGCCTCGTTGACAACAACTTTGTAACTGCCACCGACACTTTCCAAGAATTTGTAGATGCCGGGGAGTCTGAGCTTTCTGTCTGCGAGGAAGCGAGCACAGATGACGCGATCGTCGCAGCGGTGCGCGGTAGTGCGGAGGTTGCAACAGACGACGAGTCGGACAGCGAAGACGATGTCGACCCCATGCCAGAACCAGATTTTCCGTGCAAAGACGCATTGGAATACCCCGCTAAAGTGAAAACGTGCTGTGCGAAAAACAGTTTGAGCGAGAAATCGCTTCAGTGCTTAAGCTTTGTGGAGGACGAAATCGTTCGCAGCGCTGTTCGCAAGCATCGCCAGACAAAAATAACGGCGTTGTTCCGCTGATGGCGGACTTGAGAACTTTGTTTCCGTGCGGTGTTGTGATTGTGTTGAATGTGTCTGCGAGTGAAAAGTGTAGTAAATTGCTTTTGAAAGGTGGGTTGCCCTTTTGACATAGGCAAAGGCCGAAAAAAGCAGGCTTTGGTTATAACGCGGTACCGCTTATATCGCAGATTTTACAACTCCCGTGACTTACGTTATAAGCGGTCTACACTGTATTCAACATCTTACACCGCTTTTGTGACACTGTGCATGTATTGTACAGAGTCAAAGCAAAATTATGGGTTTTATTGGAATGATTTTAAAACATCAATGTATACAGAATAAAGGTGAAGCTTGTTTATACAGCTTCTTCCAGCACATACCTTGATCTGCAGCATGAGTGCAGTGAGCTTGGCTATCAGGTCAACCGCTCGATGCGCTACGTTCTCTTCCGTGTCTGACGAAGGGGACGCAGAAGAGGAGGAAGCCGACAGGGCAGCTGCCATGCTGCTTCCCGGGGCAGCACACTCCCGCATCAGTTCACGGGCCTCGTTAAGGCACTTACTGCGAATCGCCTGGGGCTGCATGTCAAACTGCAGGCCTTGCTCGGGAGCCAGCTAGGGCAGAGACGGGAGAGGGGCATCAAGAAGCAATACAGAGACGGAATACTGGCGCACTGTTGCAAATGTAGCGAGAAATCAGCTGAATCCTAGTAACTTGTTAAGTCACCTGGATGCGAATATTGCCATTTTAAGTTTTCAATCAATCCATCAAGCTTAATTACCCTTTTAGTGCCACCTATGAAGAACTGTCTGCAAATGTGTCAAATCACTACAACATTACTTTAAGGCACTCAGTATGCTTTTGCAACAACAGTAATGAGATAATTGTTGAATTTATGTGTGTTATAGTGACTCATACTAATTAGGTTGTATTTAAATATCCCTTTATGCGAAGTCATTTTCGCCTGCTTTTAGCATAAATAGAATGAAAGCTCAGGCTAGAAATATAGTGCAAAATTCGTTTTCAGTTACAGTTGACATCCGATTTCCCGGACCCCCAAGGGATCGCGAAAACGTCTGGAAAATCAGGCAGTCCAGAAAAACGAATGTAAGCGAAACCACACTTTTTTAATAGGTATTTTTTGCTGACCGAGAGAATTACGGCAGGAGTACAGGATTCTCATTGCAATTGAACAAATGCATTGTTTACGTGCTCTGAGAGCTGTTTATATTAAAAAAAAACGAAAGAAAGAAAGGAAAAAATTCCGATATGGCCGGCGCTACTGCATTTGTAAGAACTTAGGCGGGAGGAGGGGGGGGGGGGGGACGTACATAAAAGTAGCTTTTTTTTTTTGCACGACATTCCACTCGCCCGCGATGATGTCTGCCTTAATTTCAGCGAACGTCCTGCTGTCACTGTACACCGATGATGAACCCGAGGACCGTGTCAGTGTTCGCGTCAGCTCCAAGCTCATTGACTGTGTAGGCGCTGCCTCTTCTATCTCGGTGACAGAGTCGCAGGAAGTAACTTGAATGGTTTCATCATCGGTCAATTCTGTCCACACCTCGAGGTATTTGTCAGCGTCAGTGAAGCCCTCAAAGGTTATCCCGGCTGTAATCGAAACACTAGCAGCGTGCAGAATGTCGAAGGCCATGTCCGCGGGTGAAAGTTCATGGCCCATGTTGTCCACTCCGGGCGAGACGGTTGTCTCGGCGTCCTCCAGTAGGAAGGTCGCATGGCAAAAACAGTTTTGTAGGATCTGTTGCATAGCCGCCTTCCACGAGTCTGCAAGCATGCTGACGGCAGATCATAGATCAACAGCGTAGCTTTTCCCGCTGTCGGAAGACAGGAGCACAGGCTGCACAGCGCCATGCGGCTGTGGCATGGCTGTGGCCACAGGTTTGACTAAGCTACGGCTAGCAACGGTTTCGAGGGTACGGCAGCCACGGCGCGGTGAGTTCGAGAGTACAAAAACAATCAAAATGGCGGCGCTGATAGTGATTTTGAATCTGCAGTTAGTGGTAAAAAAATTCCGCCATATCCACGAAGTGAATGATGATGAGTGGGCGAAGCTCCGGAGGTAAACCTGGTAAACCATGAATCCTCTGTACATTTTGCCTACTCGATTTTATTACATCGCTCGCCCTAGCATACGTCGCCGCACTAAATCGAACGATTGCCTTCAACCAATGACACGTGCCATATGTGACATCATTCCTATTTTATAAGATCTCGCGTCTTTCATCAACTACAAGTACCGCTTTCTAGTTTATAACATCTTGCATCTTTTCATCATCAGCTACAAGTACCACCATCTAGTAAACACTACAAGAACTAAACGAGAGGTGGCTACATACAGGAGTAGGTACCGCCATCTAGTGAACACTGCAAGAACTGAACTAGAGGTGGCTACATACAGGGGACGGTACCGCCATCTAGTGAACACTGCAAGAACTAAGCTAGAGGTGGCTACATACAGGCTACAGGGGACGCACAGCCCACACCCTAAGGAGCTTCGCCCCTAAAAGTTCGGAAAATCGTTTGGCCTATTTGGACTATTTAATACATTGACTCTATGAGGAACTTGACGGGGCCATAGATGAGTCCGGGAAATTAGGCATGTCCGAAATTTCGGGGGTCCAAGAAATCGGACGCCGACTACATATCCATTTTGAGCACAAAAAAGTCTTCTGCTCACATGCTAGCAGGAAACAGCACGTCACACGACTCGGCCAACATAATAGTGCCTTTAGGAAAGTAGTCATATGTATCAGTACACTGCAAAATGAAGTTAAATAAGGCCAAATTTATTATGCACAATTTATCATCCCAAGCACAATATATCTTGCTCTCACTTAGCCTCTCTTTACTGCAAATAGCAAAGACGAGCGGTGTACACAAGTGTGTACATAAAGTCTCAAAGGGTTAAAAATACGCTAACAGAAATGACACAAGCAAACGTACCAGCACCGAGGGCGGTGGATTCGACAGGTTGTGCACAAAAACGAGACACTTTGGGGCATGCCAACTCAATGCTGCTGCACCGTCTACTTCCAGTGTTTTCGGTGATCGTAATCCAAACCGGGCTCTCGGTGAATGCCTTCTCTTTTGAGACCGTCAAGCACCGTTATGCGGCACAGGTATTTTGCAATCTGAGCCGATGCGAGCCACCACCAACGCCTTTGCCACCAAGTTGAATGTGCCATCGGCTGTTTAGATCACATGGTTTGAGCTAGTGCAGCCAAAGCCGTGAAGGAAAGAAGATCCTCTTTCGTGTGGCAAAAAAATCGGTATCGGACCGACCGACTTTTTCGTTCTGGCCTCGCAGCGTGATTTTTCGGTGGCTTGGGCGGCGAAGCGTGTGAATTTCCGGTAAGTGTCCGCTTTCACTCCTTTCGAGGCCAAGTGTGAATGCGCCTTAGGGTGCGGTAGCGATCGCTGGCTCACCCACTAGTTCAACTGCCAACAGCAGGTGGCCTGTATACACTTCTATGTGCTGCACTCTCATCCCAAATAGACTGTGTGAAAAGACTGTGCGAGAAGTAACCATATTCTTTTACAACAGTGTTTTGTAGAGCTACACGGGATAGAATCTGTTATTTTTTTAGGTATGTAACTACACTCAATCCTCAAACCTTAATAAACAAGCCTCAACCGCTGAGCCTATTAGCGCCCCATGACTGAGCACAGCGGCAAAATAAACAACCATACACTCGTGCACTCCATGAGCAGTCATACACACATGCCTTTGCTAGGCTGTTCTGAGAACTGGACACCACCACCCTTCTTTTGAACACCGCTACAATCATATATTTTTTTTCCCCCTTTGAACACTGCTATCAAGTTACAAGACTAATCAGTTTCATCGCACGAGAGAAGCAATGAATGCGATAGAAACAAGTTGTAAGGTTATACGAAGTAAGGCTGGCATAACTCTCTTGGATCCAAATTGACGCAACTCTACAAAATGCTGGTGTTAGAACATACGGCTGCGCTAGAGTAAAATGCTCTCTTCGCACAGTCTCTTCATATTGAGAGCGCAGTTAGTAGATGGGTTTACGATCGATTCACGCTGATGCCTTGCACGCGCCAGCGATTATAGCCTTGATGAAACCGAAATTGAAACCGAAAATATGGTAATCATTGATACGTGGCGTTTAACGTCCCAAAACCACCGAGAATATGGTATGTTCCAGCCATGTTTTCGGGCACGACTCTTCACGGCAGTCCCACCTTGCGACTGAAAACA